TATATATATGAGCGGAAAAACAAAGCAGAACATTGGCACAGTGGCACGTCGTTATCTCTATCTAAATATCTACGTATATAAATAGGCCAACAAAGCATATTAGCAATCCACGTGCTAAAACTTTGTGTTAGTATTCGTATGGTCACCTGACGTAAATCTTAAAGCTAACAATGACTATTTGCAAAGGGTCGCGCGAACATATGGCGCTTCTGAGCGCTAAATATACAAAGAGTACGACGAAATCATGATCCCTCTGAAAAAAGACACAAACACCTGTGTAAGCTCAATTGGCAGTGTTCATATTTTGTATATTAATTTAATTTGGACTTTCTAGGGTGATGCCAAAGTCGCTCCAGCCTGAAATGCTTAAATGCAGGCCATATTATGGATACGCTGTATACATCATGCGACTTCAACATGGAGCAGGTCTTCATTTCCTATACATAGGAGTTGAGGTCAGGAGTGCCTACTGAAACACTGATCAGACGGACAACTGATACATAACAAACGTTGCTATATTGTTGCCTTCGAAATATTTCCTTGGGATCAAAGTCGACCGATCTTCCAATAATAAAATTTTTCATAGACTGCTGGTTTATCTCACTTATACCAGCGGTAGCACAGTGGGTAACATGTTTGGCTGCTCAGCTTAGGAATATGTCGTGATCTACGTTTGAATCTAAATACCTCGTTTTGTGTTGGGAGGCAGTCGTTTGAAATGATGCTTAGCGGCTTAAGTATCGTGCGTACAACACGAAAAACATTTTTTGGTTTAGCCTTACTCGGCTATCGTGTGAGGCTGATTAATAGTATAAAGAACCTCTGTAAAGCGATTTATGTATAGCTTAGCATGCTTTGTTCGTCAAACACATCGTGTAACAATACACAGTAAAATGTCACACTTTCTGATAAACCAACGCTGCGCTAAATACATTTAGGAGTTTTAAAGGCCACAAACATTGCTCACAGCAGCATAGGTTTAAACACAGGTAGAAACTAATACTCTAGGAGTCATATAAATGAGATTACATGATTCCTAGAATATTACAAAAAAACTAATAATATTCGACAGTACCAAGCATACGGTTAAAAGTACACCAGCGACATTCGACAATATATTTGATGACTTCGGATACTGCTGGAAAAGATCTAGCTTCTTTATATCATGGAGGTAAATTTTAAATCGTCGACACAGTTGAATCAAATGTCGTTACCAGTGCAAAAAAACGGTACTGTTAAACAAAAAAGTAACTGAGATGCCAAAAAATAAAAATGCAGATATTTTGCGGAATACATGAATGGGCACCAATAGCATTGATTTAACTAATATAGTGCGTAATTGTCTGCCAGAATAATTATAGTAAACATAATTTCTATCAGCTAGTTTCACCGGCGGCATTACAGTTGCTGGCTGTTGCTGCAGCTGTAGAAGCGGCGAATTGCTGCGGATCTAAAAGAGGACTATTTCCTTCTCCTCGACAAGAGGCCACATTTGAGGTATCATCCGGCGTCACTGCGCGAAGAACTTCGCGTTCAAGGGAAAAATCGTAGTTGAACTGCGAGTAAATTTGGCTGGCTGTTTTTAAATGAATAGCCGGTAGCTAAAAAAAAATAAAAATAGAGAACTGTTATTCAATAGAACACAACTAAAGCACATCTATAGAGTCCTTTGTGTAATAGTCTCCTACTGCGATTTTATCATATTCGATATTGAAAAAGTCTCCTTCTTTGAAAAATTCATGACTAAGTATAAATGGGATCTCATATGACAGCTATGACACGATCATCATCGTTTGTCTGTAAACAAATACTAAAATACACAGAATTGTGCAGCCTGTCTAATTCGTAAATTTGTTTGTTTTGTCGCCTATTTTAGTTATCTATTTGTAAATTCTGTCTATTTGTGCTCTGGGCTTAATGCTGAAGAAAACCGTGTATAGTCTCGGACAGATGTTTGAAAGAAAACTCTACAACAAATCATGTAGAAAACGATCAAGCCTCTTAACAAAGGCAGGCAGGCACTTTGTAACAGTAAAGCTTAAATTGATATTTTTTTCTGTTTGTTTCTGTGTTATATATCTAGTTAATACTACTACCCTATCGGAGTTGTGACCCCCAAATTGCATGAAATTTTGTTTATTACTTATAGTTCATATATGATTGATCCCCATAATTTACAATGAAATGCTTCTGTAGATATTTATTGTATTTACTGCACCTACTAGAGGTTGCTATATATCATACCCGTCTAACTGGTAGCAATCCTGGATTAAGTCGATAAGAGATATCGTCGATCCAATTTCTAGCACATAGCACAGATCCGGAATTACCACTCTGAGCGCCTCCAGCGTCATTCTGCGCTCTACACGCTGCCTGCTCTTTCGGCAGGCTACCTTTAAATTCATTTAACAAGATATTGACACCTATTTAGTTACGGGGATAATATTTGAACATTTTAGAATATCAGATCTATAATAAAAACATGCGATCTCTAAAAACCCTTCAAATGTTATTTTATTCACTATTTTTTACTGTACCGTTCGACTCGACATTAATTTTGATAGTCCTATAAGCGATAAGTAGCCCATTCAGCTCGCCAGCTAGCGTAAAGCCCTCAGGAGCACTTTTTGAGAATACGCCAATGTCCGACACCACGGAGCTGTTCCGTATATCCCGACTGATCACTGTATAACATAAGTGACGCTTTTTAAGACATTTCTGACCTGTAATACATTTTAATAAACGGCTCGACGTAACACAGATAATTGACGATACAACATGAATAAGTCCGAAGGTGTGAAAAAAGGCTCAATAAAAAAATTACTACTATTATTCTTTGTATTACTACAATTATATGCATTTTTTTGTATTAAAACTTCTCAATTTATATTTGCCCGCAGTGTCTTAGCAGGCAGATAATTCATTTCTATTTGCCGTGTAAAATTTTTTTCTTACTCTTTTTTTCAACAACCATAATAACAGACATGCTTTTAGTATAGATTTAGAGACCTACGCAAAGTATATACATTGTCAATTTTAACTGCTATTAAAATTTCTAGTTTCGAGAAAGCTACAGTGTAAGCAAACGGTTAACCAATAGCACGAACCGTCAATAACCACTTTAATTTGCATTTTTTATAAATCTCATTAGGTTGGGACATAAAGAGTGGTCGTTTTTTAACGTTTTCTTGCATTTTACTTTTCTTCTCTTTGTTCACTTTAATATACCATTCAAAATACTATCTCACGTCTGTAATTCTGTTACAATTTAATTGCGTAACAAACTGAATTTTACGTCGATTTCAAGATTCACATATTGCTTCACGTGGAGAAAAATGCGTCTTCATTAGAGTCGAGGCGAAAACTGCAGTCTTGATATCTATTCTATTCCGCTTGACGTCGAGGTCAAAAGTTGCCAATAAAGCCCGGAATATTTGTGGCGTGTACATTTAGGATTCCTAACTGAAAAAAACTCTGAGTTGGTAGGTTCAAAGACTTAATATTAGACCTGTAAAGTGTACCCTAGTAAATACGAAGCTCGTCAAGTGGCCGGAAAAATAAACTGTAAACACTTTATTTTTGTCATGAATCCTAAATATATGAAATTCTATTATAAATTCCGAGCCTTGGTATGCCATGAACTGGCTAAAACGCGCGAGGGAATACCGCTTCTCATTGACTCTTTAACATCCTACTATGCACCGAACCCTTTTTTGGTCGCTGACAAACGAAATTAGTAATCGTGCATTTGACGGTGATGAAAATTTTAAATTTCAGCTGGACATGGTTTTAAAACTGGACATGAACGGAGTAGGACCTGATGGAATTCCTGGACGGAGGAATAAATAAATTCGCTGGCAGATAAAACAGAACCATACTTGATTACGGCGAATACTAATATAGTAAACTAATGATAAATTAGTTAGTTGCTACAATTTCATGGAATGCTGTGTTTTGTGTTAAGCGAAAAACCGCCATTAATTATGTTTAAATTCGCATACACATACAAGTTGGAGCAAAGGTAGACCTACAGTAAGAATATCATAAGTCTACAACTAGAAACCAACAGTTTTTTGTGACTGTGATTGACATCTTTTATGACAGTATAATAAAAACCAAAGCCTCACTAACCTGTGTCGCGGGTCGAGGAGATCGTCAATACATTTGGCGGCGGTGTTTGCTGCAATGTTTGCACCGCCATTAGTTCAAACAAACGATTGTAGTAATCGTTATACAGTACCTTTAGTTATATAATACAAAGAGTTTTTAGAGAACATCTCCGAATTTCATATCGATCTTACATTTTAAATAATAACAACGATCTGAAATTGACGTATATATATAGAAATACACCACAAAAACCGTATAGGCAATATTTTTCAGCGGAACACCATCTAGATCCACTCAAGATATATCTGAAGACGAGTTGCAAACTTACTTGCACACTTAAACTCTCCAAACAGTCTAGCGAAAACTTCCGAGCAAAGCAAAGATATCTTGTTTCCTTACGGCCGAAAAAGAGGCCTTTGTCTTTCCAAAGATCAGCGTCTACCCCAGCATCGCCTAAAATAAACCGTCAAATTGCAAGTGCTTACAATACATAAGCAAGATATATACATATATATTTGTTTTTGTGATATAAAATGTGAGGAGATGAGAGTAAAAAACTTGTGGCTTATTTTTCTTACAGTTATATACATACTAAATGGAACCTATTTTGTCATTCATTTAACTAATTTAGTTCACTGAGATTACGCCCACCCTAAGCTGAACTATGATATATACCTGCAGTTGCTCCGCTACAATTACTTTATCTCATCCAACCTGTTACCCTTTTGCCGTTCTAACGTGGCCAAAAGGCTTAGCCAAATGTAAATTCGTCTAACTCATGATATCTTGGCTTTTAACATATTTGTACTACATGATCACAGCGCGCTTTAACTGACTCTGTTTGTGGGTCGTCCGTGAATGTGGTCAACGGACCATTGAAAGACGTACAGAAATCCGGTATGTCTTCGGTAGGCTTTTAAAAGACGTTCTAATTGATAGAGCTAAGTAACCTATTGATTCTACTACTAAGACCTCACTGAGGCTTAAAATCTCTTTATAAGTAGTTACACATACTTAACTAAATGAAAATAAGGCAAACATTTCGTGATGATTTGATATGTCTTGGTTCATATAATGATCCTGTTCCTGGGACTTCACCACAGCTTAACGACGTTCTATCTGTTTTTAGTTTTTTTTTTTGTTAACGAATAGTTACATATATTTCTTTTAATTTTGGAATTTTTCTCTAAAGATTAAGAGATTCTAATTAGGAAAAAATGTTTACAAAAATCATTGTTACCTTGGCCGCTTCAATTTTTCAATCAGCATTTTTTAGAAATACATTCAAAAACTCGTTCTTACCTTGGTGTTACCGATATGACCATTACGGCTTTCGCAATTTTCATTCAAAAATATTAATTTTAAGTATAGGTGTATGCGCTACAGTTTTATTCAGCTCTTTGAGCTCCACCTAAATAAAATAAATTCCTTTTATATAATACGCTATGTTAAATTTTCATCTTCCGAACGGCATATTCGACCTGAAAACTAAAATCGAAATATATGAACCTGTACGATTCCATTCGATTTATCGAGGGTTTTTAATTGCACTAAGAATCTTTTTCCTTACATAGATATATGTGTAAAATAATTTCACTCTAGTGTCATCTAAGCTACTACTTTTATGTTTCAGCCTTTCTTACGCTAAAATATTAATTTTAGTTATATGAAAGTACATTACATTTTTATCCATCTCGTCAAGGTCTATCGATTCATATAAATAATTGGCATCAACAAAGTAATGTTTTGCTTAGAATATTTTCTAGAAAAAAAGAAAAGAGGATATCGCGTAAAAAGTTATTCAATCATTTCAACCCGTACAAATTTCCAGTTCACACTTATCAGAGATTCCTTCATATAAGCACACAATAGTACTTTGAAACGTATTTCTTCTTCGCTGTGACCAGGGCGAGGCGTACTTCTCAACGGATTTCCGATTTTTTTTCACCAAAGTATCAATTTTAGACATAGGACGTGGATTGCATTTTTGCTACAATTTATCGAAATCTACCGATCGATGTTTATAAAAAAGACTTTCTTTACATAGCACGCCATGTAAATTTTTTACCCTTTGGGACACATTTTCAATCTAAAATGTGAGTATAGGGGCATGCAAAAATTTGGTGCACGTCGATCTCTATGTAAACATTCCGCTACCGTTTCCTCAATAAAAAAAAATTCAATAATTACCCGCTAAAGATAGCCCATCGTAGCCCCTAAAACTTTTTCAATATGTAAGAAAATCCTATAGGAAAAACTACCAAAAAATCAAAATTGGAACGAACGACCAATTTGCTTAAATCAACAATACGTTATATAAGATATAAACTGCCCCCGGATTCACCTCATGCACAGCTCTATCCCGGACGGTACTCTAACGATGCGCCAGAAAAAATGAGCTTGATCTAACGACTTTGAGGGATCGATTTGAGTCGGACAGACAAACAGACACAGGGCTTTAGTAGTGTATAAATAGAAAAAATTGTTGTAATCTCTTTCGCAATGATGATATGCGGCTTGGTCTAAATCCTCCGAAAGGTTACAGACAGAATTTTGCGCGGCAGCTGATTAAAAAGAAGGGGATAGAGAAGGTTGAACGGTGTATAGCCAAGCAATAATGGCCAAAGGCAAAATCGTACAGAGATTAAGGAGGCGTCTGCGAGCAATGACGCTGATATGGTTCGATTTTGAAGACCATACATCTAGAGTTTATTAATAATGTCCACTTCAAGATATTGCCCTGAGCTGGATGAAACTCTGAATACACAGATAATTAAAAATAGTGGCTTTAAAATCTCGTTCCTTTCTCAAGTGTATGCTCATGTATCTCATTTAGTTACTGGCGGTGGAGGTGATAGATGGCAAACACATTTTGGTTTTTTCGATCGCATAACGCCAATGAAGTTTTTTTTGAGAAGGTTAATGTTTTTTTTCCAATGTGTAATGATGGGGGTATCCAGTTCGGAGAACTATATAATGGCTTCGATAAAACTATTGATTTGTGCAAACAAGCCATTGGCATTTATGATAATGCAGTTCAATTTTTAGAACCAAACGCTTTTGTTCTTATAATATTAATGGGCAACGCCATTTACAGCGCTTTAGTCACATTTAATGAGAACGATTATTCATAATTAAACAATACATTTTCAGATCAGCAGAGTATCTGAGGTACTTTGCATCCTTTGGCAGGTGTTGGTTGATGTTTAAAACAAATATTACATATAACAAGGGAGAAACGCAGGTACGCTGAAGTACCCCTTGGTTGTCAAGCATGATTAACTTGTCGTTGTTCACGTTCGCTTCTCCGATGAGAGCAATTCGCTAAATAAAAACCAGTTTGGAGCGGCGTCATGAATATCTAAACGTCTCATCTTTTTTAGCAACAGAATATGATCTATTTCATTAAAACCTCTTTTTGGGCCATAATTTATGCAATGGAAAGGCATATACGGGTTTATATTCAATTTCTGTCTCTGATTTATCTATGTCTACCGTACCGATATATATACATATATATATATATACGAAATGAAATTCAAATATAACTCATATATGAGTTATATTTGAATTTCGTTCCAAAAGCTGGTGCTAAGAGGAAGATAACTATATATTTATATATATGTTTTTTGCCTTCAGATGGCTTAACAATTAGGGCGGTCTGGAGGTTAGTTTATGTATACACAGGGAAATCAAAAAGGTGAAGAGAGTTGAATACCGAAAAAACTTCGGAAAATAGGTTTGCTTTATTATCTATGCAGCAACAAGCGGCATAAATTGGAGATTTTAGGATCGACAAGGATTTGCCTTTATTAAAACAACCGACAGCTTATATGACGAATCAGCGAGTACTCTCGAAATCAAATTCTAATTCGGTTGACACTTTAACTTTATTTGCAGCCTTCAAAGTTCGGCGTGAAAGAAACTAACCCCGAGAAGAGGTTTTATCTTTAATACGGTTACTTGCTTCTGGATATTATCAATACAACCGTCACGGTCTAGGAATGGGGTAAATTTTTGAACTAGGAAATTATACAGATTTGTTATACATTTGCTGCAACATGTGATCAATTTATCACGTACTGAAACCGGTTGTTCTCACGATAAAAATTAACAAATTGGTATTTTTATGACATTATTGTCCCTTCAATATTTGGTAAACTTAAGTTATCGGGTACTATAACTAGAGAAATAATATCACAGTAACTAATTATTGCAGCACATATAGCTGAACACAGTTTGAGGGGTATTTTTGTTCATAGAGTTCGGTAGGTACCAGCAACTAAGCTAACTTGTGCTCGTCACCAGCACAGTCTGTCGTGTATATACTCGTTTAAGTTTGCGTTGCTATAATTGCCTGGAGATGTCTTTCGCTCAATATGCAAATGCTACTTTTGTATGATGGGCTGTCGTGCCGGAATATCTTCTTTTATAGTACTACCCTATGAAAAAAGAAATTATAAAAAAAATCAAGCTTCACGTATGAAGGTAAACCAAGTTTCACACATATTACGATAATTTCTCGTCCCTCGCGATCTTCGAAAGATGGAGACATTTTAGTCGCTCCGGGCGACAATTTGTAGGATGACCTATCTATTTGAGCCAGTTATGAGATGGGTAGATTCATTAGTGCTGTTTTGCGCTTAAAAAGGATCTTTTTCAAAGTAAAGCAACCCATCCATACTTTGATAATAGTGCCTGAAGACCATTTCATCACGTTTTTCCGTAACCTCCTTGAAGAGATACATACGACAAATCGAGTGAGTAATTTATTAACTAATCTAAATTTATAATGCAACAAGTCTGAAGGATAAAGCACAAAGAGCGAAAGAAGAGAGAAAATAAGCAGTCATAGACAGTAATGGCGAATACATAATGCGCAACCTAACAGTTGCGTGCGGTTAGAGAATAAAAATCTTAAACGCAAACCAAAATATTTCTAATATCAATAACAAGTGATATCACTTCTGTCGCAAACTATTTCTAGATATATATATATATATATATATCTCAGAGACTAGCAATATATCAACAAGAAAACTTGCGACAAAATTAATGTCGCTCGTTTATAATATGCATTTAAGTCTTTTCAGAGTAAGAAAAACGCTTCAAATGGACGTGTTCATTCAATATAACTGTCATCCATTTCGACCACGTCTGCTATGATGACTGCATAAAAATTCCGGGATCATTAGAAATGACCATTTAATATGTCTTTGTTGATATAATTCGACCTGCTTAGTACAACGAAAGTTGATCCAGCGCTGAATAGTAGTGAATGGTCAATAGCTTAGGTTCGCTCATACTCTCAAAACGGAACCCTGCTTCCGTCGTAATTGTTTGCGATTTTGTTTTAGAAAGAACTGCTTTTATTATATCAAGAACGCTGAATGAACATATAACCCGCTAAAACTTGTCACAGTTTATCTCGAACGCTATATATATCCTCGCTGTTCTGCATACACATGATTATTATCACTTTCTTTTTTTCTATCCTAAACAATACTCATCATGCATTATCTAAAAACTTTTTTTAATTTCTTTTCATTTTTACCCTACCGGTTGACTTGAGTGATATCTCAAAATTTTTTAATACATCTATAAGGAGCAGCATAGAAATAAGGACAGAAGATATGCTTTCAGATAACAATCCCGGAGAGCACTGGTTGTAGACTTTCAAATCCAAACTAACTCAAAGTTAGATTGATAAAAGCAGCATAATGTAGTAAGTCTGGTGCAACGTTCGCTGAGAAAAAGATTTAAAAAAATGTATAAATGTAGGTGTTGATAAATAAACATGACCATATACTATATACATTTGCTATATACGCACAGGCAGAGAAAACTGGATCTGCTTCTGAGTGCGTCTATCTATGCGTTATCCACATAATCATCACAGGCCTAGAACTCAACAACGTAAAATAACTCCGTTGAGGTATAACTTTGTGTAAGATAACAACAGACCTAACCGGTTAACTCAAGGGTACCAGAAATATTATTTTCAATGTAAAAACGTATAGTTAGTTATCACGAAGGTTGCACCTTTGCTACTCCACCCATGAAAATTAGTACGTATATTTAAATCATGGTAGATTGTGTTGTTGTTGGCTGAACTAAATAAACAAAGACCTATACGCTTCGTCTATGATTACGAACCGATTTTCAGGAGCATAGAGCCGGATTTTACAAAAGGGAGAAAATGATCAACTGAAATTGAAAGTACAGAGGAAGAAAAAATAGACACGGTGTAGCTCTACACGCAGTCTATCTCCGCCAGATATCCAGTTTTTACAGAGATATATTGCCGCATCTATATAGAGGACCCTATAGTCAATATCATTTCGAGCCTGCTTAGTGCTGCTTTCCCCTATGCGTAAACACGCTTGCAAATGGCTTCAGTCATACTTGTTTTCATATATTTTATCTTTACGTAAGTTGTCATTCTATAGAAAGTCTTTTTAATCATTATCTGTACAGCATTATATTTGCAAGTTCTACTCTCTACTGTCATCGGAAAAGTTGCCTACTGTGTGTTATTTACCGTTTAAATGTTATTTACCGGTAAAACAGTGTTTGATAATCATACTTTATAGTAGCAATATTCCTTTAGTATCTGTCAGTCTGTCGCCGTCACCCAGTACATCTGTGCGTATATGTGCTTGTTGATAAATGAACGTTTGGTTAGTTAGAAGCGGCTAGTTAAAAACTATTTTGCGCTATACACGTAAACATTGCTAATTTCTATATTTAAACCCGGAAATTTTAAAATAATAGTAAAATACCGGTTAGTTCGATGACGGAGTACCCTGGTGGCGCATTTTTTGCTTCTTCGATAATGCAGATATCCGTGATCGGCTCCATAAAGTAGGTACATCCATAAAAAAATTCCCTTCGATTGATTTTGGCTCCACCTATTCACCTAGAAGCAACACATTTAAATTAATCGTACATTATGAATAAAAGAACATTGCCTCAGGTGAAGTACAGAAATCCTCAAAACCTATTAGACTTAAATACTTCCAGCAGATCCATTTATTTGTTATGTCTATACAGGTACTCTCGTGATTTTATCACCTCCTGGGCTTGTGTAATGACATATGGATAAGCAATTTAAGTGCATAAATATAAAGAAAAATAAGCTTTACTACTCAAGGAGAATCAATTCAGGGTACCCATATGCTATATATAACCTATTGTGAGTTGTATGCTTCAACCAGTCTTTCGGCAGACTAATAATAAATAATATTAATAAAAATTTTTTCTGGATAGTACTCAGAAAACGTCAATATCTTTAAGTTGCTAGTTGGTTGCAAATAGTATTGATTTACCAAATTCGTATAAATTTCATGTGATTTTTTTAAAAATATTTAGGTTTTTGCGAATAGAAGCTTAGTGAATAGTTTAAAAATTTCACGAACTTACAGTAGCCTATTACCCAGGATATTTAAGTATACTTAATAAGGACAAAAATCTATGAAATTTTTCACAGCTTTAGGCACTGAAACACTATTTAGAGCCAGTGCCTACTCTCTATTATGGAAGAAATATACATACCTTTATCAGTCGGTTGATTCACACATATCATCCAATGTAACTGCATCATCAAACACAAAACCTCTAAGGTACCATTTTTTTTTAACTTGGATCAATTTGTAAACACCTATTTGTTGACCGTAGTGTCAAATATTAAGGATCTAGAAATGATTCGCGCGCGCGGGCAAGTACCTAATGTCATTCGATCGCTTACCTTATTTCTTTGGGCGTCTTTCTTTTGCTCTTACTTCTTTCAAGGTTCAACTATTATAAAAAGCATACATTTTTTGGTAGACTTATATTTAAAATACTTACATTTAAGTCACATTTTGTTAACTGTGTAGGATATTGCAATGATGATATCTTCAGCTCTGTTTGTCAGATTAACTTGCACCTCCATACAGCCAAAGATTTAGAGGGAATAGTGAAAGGGCGGGTAGTCGTAAGCCCGCGAATTTTAACACTGACCCTAGTGTCAAAGCGGCGCCTCTTATTCATAAGGAAACACAACCGTGAGTTTGGTTCTCAGATGCTTGGAAAGGTCTGAAATATGTAGAATTGATGATTCAAAATTTAATTCCGTTAAGGTTGGACTAGCTTGAAGGAGATTGCTTGTCGGAAGCGTAAGCCTTTTAAGTCATACCTGCAAGAATACGAATGAACCGATACAATCATTGTACTTGTAGATTACAAAAATAACACGTAGCTTAGATGACTTTATAATAAAGTTCGACTAGTAATACTATGTGGTCTCTGACGGCCGGTTGTCAGCTTATTTGTCAGAGCAGCTCCGTGCATAATATAAAGCAAAAAATTTGTGCCAAGGTTACGCTAGTTAAGATGCAGCCGCCTGGACTTGTACTTAAGCGTTATACGTGGGTTAAGACAAACATTCACCGAATGTGTGCTGTCATCTACTAAAACTCCTGTGGCCTGTACCATAAAATAGTGCAGGTCGGATAGGATAAACTGTGTTTATAAAAGCCATTCCTTGGTAGAATTACCCATTTCAAGGTGTTTTTTGTGATAACCATTCTTCTGTGTTTGCGTTGTTATTAACTGAGTACCATATAAATAATGTATATAACATGTTAATTTCAGCAGAGTACATCTGAAAAATAACAACATATATAAATTGCATTCAGTTTGCTAGATCATCGACGTTATTTATCCCTAGTGGTCGTCTATAGTACTACCTTAACTATACTTCAGTAGTAACATATTCGATAACTTTTTGAAAATACAGCAGTATTTCAAACCTCAAGCAAGCGATCAATTATACTATATTGACAAAGCACATTGGATGTATTTACCATTTAAAAGATTATCATTAATACTGTGTGTTATGCAGTTCCAAGTGCATTTAAAGAATTTGCTTACAGATTAATTTTGTTGAACCGTCACTTTTTTTTGCCAAAATACTGGATAGGATTTGATAAGCGAATTCGTTTTGACAAAGGACGATTTTCGACTCTCTCTCTTGATTATCAAATTGTTAACAAGATGTCGCGCGAAAAGGTTTCCAAATGAAACAAAGTAGACATTCTTTAATATATCGGAACATATGCAAAAATCTTCAATAATTAGTATTAAGACACATAACTTATGTACCTGAATACTATATGAACTAGGTGGTAAATCCGCTTCAGCTATAGAACTTCTTCGGCACTGAAATGTGTTTTACGTACAAAATGGGACATATTCGAGTGCAGTCATTAATTATACGTGTGCTTTTGCTATATCTCATATTTTGATTTTTTCGGCAGGCTTAGTAATAAGCTTCATTCCTTACACATACCAATACTGCTTCGTTTATTATATATATATTTTTTTATTAACGGTTCACTTAGTGATTTAAAACAAAACTAAATCTGAACATTTTGTCTTTTTGAAGGCTACTGTTATTTCTTTATTAGATAACGTTGAAATGTAATAATTCCGTAATATCGCAAAGTGAAGTGTAAAAACTGACATTTCTAGTGTAAAAAAAACGACACAGGAAGCAAATGCCGCCACGTACAACACAATCTGTAAACATAGAAGCAATACTCAGGTAGTTTTTTCTCATTGATCAACTACTAATTTCTTTATTTTCAAAATATGTTTAAAACAGATTAGATTTTTATTGAGTTTGCGAGACAAATTTTTATTTATTTATTCAAAAAATGTTTTGTAAAAATGGCTTTGTTTTTAATCAGGTAAATGGCAATATTGACGTAATAAAACTAACTTTTTTCTAGAGACCGTTATGTGCCCATTTTATATAATACTCTTATATAGTTCTTACAAATTAATTTATATAATTATCACTCAACATAACGAACGAGTCCGCGTAAAAAGTGTTTATATCTACAAGATATTTTTCTTTGTATTTCCATCCGAATAATGCGATGCGGACCGATAACAATAAAACCCAACTTCTCCTTTAGCTTAGTGTTTACACTGAAGTATTACAGCTTGTTAGATTCAATAACCTAAACGTTTACTTATTCTCTCGAGAAGTTATATCTAGAGTTCATTTTCACTCATAAATGCTATTTGTGCACATATTTTGATCAAAATCAGTAAACGCGGTAACAGTAGCATCATGATGAAAACTTGACTTCTCTATCGTTAGGTTGGACACATTTTTCAGAAGTTATCCTTAATTCCGTAAAGCGAACGCTTTACTGCGGCTTACATTTATGTAGCTAAGATAAACGACTTGCGTTAGATAGGTTAGACGTCGACGACAATTTTATGTTTAGTATATAAAAATATGTAGGTTAAAAGGCCTCTATTAATAATTTTAGGTGTGCTAAATTTGGCTGCAGCGATCCAATATAAAAAAAAATAGAAGTCTTTTTACTTGTTCAGTGAATTATTTGACAGAATACAAGATTGTACAATGCATGCTTTGATGGCCGTTGCTTTTTGCCACGGCTTGGCCGTTTCATTCCTCTGTGCATAAGCGGGTCTGTTTAAATCTTCCGTTGCCTATCTCCAGCTCGATCGAACCACCAGTTAATTGCAGTGTGCTGTTCGCTGCTCCACTTGGTGACGGCGTCGCTCGTACCGTCCATGTGTTCCAGCATTTTTTAAATTGAACAAGTGGATTCTTAAGTGCCTAGCGCAATTCGTAGTTTGGTTCGTGCTAACGTCCGCTGTGGTAAATATGTTTCATAATGATAAATGTTTTAATTAAAAAATTTCCCCTGTATAAGCCGGTATTGTCGACTACCGTGCCCGTACGTGGCCTCCTTTGTGTGTTTAAAATCTGATCAGCTGGAAGTGAAGGGTTTCCATTTAAAAGATACAGTAAAAAACAGAACTTAGTGCATTCATACAGACTATGCAGTATGTATCGTTAGCGGGACTTGAAGTAATGATTCGTGGCCTCTTTCACATAAAACCTTGGTCGTCCACGGCATTGCATTCTAAGGAAATTATTATTAAATCGATTTCATTCGTGCACAAATAATAGCTATATATGGCTACTGTACTCAGTTCAGTTGCAACAATCTCACAATATAAGAATGCAAGATAGAGACAGAGTTCGTCTACTGCGAGGACTTAGTAAAATCTAACTGAGATCTAGTAAAACTAATAATTTCAATAGTGAAATCAGATAGAACCCAGAAACAAAAAAAAACGACTACATTTATTTAAAAAATATAGTTTAGATTTGTACCATTTAGCGCATACATTGTGGTATTATTATCCCTCTGGTGCAAAAATAACCGAGTCGTTCTATTTTAGTTAATGGGAGATGTATCTTTGAAAGGCAAATCTAGCCACCTTTCAAAATTTCGTAACATTTCTTCAGCTGAGCCAAGATACAATATAGTAGATACCTGTTGAATAAAAGTATCTCTTGAAAATTTTAAAAAAACAAGCTTTAAACATTAGACTAGTACTTGCGGATGAAACTGCGTGTGGTATTTTAAAAAAGACTAAACTCATCCTACGCGTATTAATCAAAATTGTGGGAATTTATCGATTTATCAAGGTAAATGTCAATATCTGCTTACCTGGATATCTCACAAGTTTCACTATCGCTGCTTGAAGAAGCTTGCACTGGTAATTTCCTTAAAAAAAATAAATGGCTCGTATAAAAAATAGAGATTGTGGGTTCAAGGCATATTTTTCAACGTGGTCAAAAAAATAATCACAGCTTAAGAAAAGCAAAGCTTCACAAGTAAGAGTTAAGTTTAGATACAGGTTGTGCATACGCCAATATTGGGTTTTCATCGGGCAGATGTTCCCCAGAAACATATTAACTGGAAGGCCAGACCTCAATCTTTTTCAAAAAGGGCTGTCTGACAAGAATATCAAAGTTACGTACATCATTGCAGAAAGGACCACAAGTGGACTGATTTTAAAAGGTTCACGCTAAGCCATTAGGCGTTTGGTTGCCTGATTTCTCACCATCATTCTTAGCCAAGATGTTGAACCGTTTATTGTGATATTCTGTGTCGTAGCATAAAAAGCGGACATACATTCCGAAAGCAACGGAACAGAAACACAAAAGCTAAGTAAAGGTATTACTGTAGTATTTTTTACACGGAATCTGCCAGCTAAATTATTATTCAAATGTAAGTACTCAATATAAAAAATATTAAACAGTAGGCTATTTAAAATTAAATTAATTTAAATTAAAATTAAATTAAAAGTTAGCAGGCTAAGACAGAAGTGATTGAGCTTTAGCTTAATAGATTAACTTGAGGCCCATTGTAATGAATCCTTCTCTGTCCGTTCCGCCACCGCACAAGAGCTGTATTTTACCATTTTATCTTCTTTAAACAGCCATTCTATTATATTTGGCACAACGCTTTAGTACATTAAGGCACATGCACATTTTTCGATCCATGTCAGTTTTTGTCCGCAGTAAATTGCTATATAATGTTGCTGTCTACTTATTTTTTCTAATGTAGTGTTTTGGCACCACATTTTAGATTTTTGGTACGGAAATTGATGCTATTTGAATTATTACTATGGCACACACGATTCTCCTTCTTCAACCGGGTAAACCCGAATCAAGGACCTATTCAGATTTTGAAAGGTAAATATTCAACAAATGTCGTGCTGTTTTACATAGCGTTTTCATTGCCATTCCGTTTTGTCAATAGTTTTTATCAATTTCTCTCGCTCTCCGCGTTAGCATAAGTGTTATCATCGAGTTATCATCACGTGTATACGTAAATGTATATAGCTATTGTTTATTTTCCGTTAGATATAAGATATTGGTTATTCTCCGAAAATAGTGTCAACGCGTGCATGGAAGCAATCTGCCACGTGTTTGAGGAGCATTTGAAGCGGCAGAATCCACAATCAGCGTCGATCACCTATGATATCTCTCAGCTTTTCGACTTCATCGATCAACTTAATGATCTCACCTGTCTGGTTAGTACACTGTATTGAGCATAATAATGTGACGATTATGTATTGCAATATTTCGCTGCACTTTTTAGGAACTAGACTGATAAAAGATGGAGCCTTTTTGCCGTTTTCTAGATCGGATCTTAAGGTATTCTTCATCTGTTTCACTTTCGTTTTTGCTTCCTCTCATTGGATCCTATTCTACGATGAAATATTTTATAAAAATTATACGATAAAAATTCTGCCGAATCCGTGGTTCTTTGGAAAAACTATTAAGACAGGCCTACTAGGAACTGAACGACTATGTGTTCCTTTTAAATCCTCTATAATAAATTAAGCTGTAAGTCTATGTTTCGTCAACGTAGACGCAAAAATTATTATAGCAAGTTCTAGTATCAAGAGTGGAGAGACTGCCACAGGTTTCAATATGGTCAGAGTATTCTACTTAATTATGTGCATATTTTTCGGGTTCTTTTTAGGTTCATCAGAAGACAACAAACACGTATTCACCGTATAATAAAGCCTGGATAAAAGACAAGATTTATGCTTTGCTACGGCAGCAAGCCAGCCACTGATCTAGACGTACAAAATATATTTTCTTTGTTGAATTACTTTACATGCGATGGGTACACTACAGCGAGCCAAAACCTAATACTTTTAAGAACAGTTTTTAAGTATCGTGATTTGCGAATCAGCTCTCAAACAATCCTAACCAACGCCACGAACAACTTTGTGAAAACCTGTGACCTGTGGGCCATTACAGCAGACCTCAGACTGAAGGTTTGTTTTCGGGATTGCCTTAAGTACTAGTAAATGACGCTTGATTCAGTTATTCGGTCGATAACGAGCCTGTCACAATATGAAGCGGATGCCGATACGCCCGTGCTTATAGGCTTTGAAGCAACAAAATTGGTTTGCGCTTGATGATATCCCAAGAGCAAGTAGGAGCGAAGAACGGTTTGTGTATGATGTAATATATATTTAGCCCTTCAATGCTACTTGACGGTGTCGCATTTAAAAATTCACTCAGCGTACGCATCTTTATACTCTGGCTCAACAATGTTATACCCTAGAACAAAATAGCCACCTCATTCAAAAATTCAAAGACAAACCGCGTCATGAGGAATCCGTAGCCATAACATATCCATTTGATTACAGGCATTTTACACGCTAGATGTTTCGCATGAACACATTTGAAGTCTATGAGCTAGTAAACGTTTCTAAAAGAGTGGGCACTCAATTAGCAATAAGTGAGAGACGAGAGGAACAAGGTTTCGATGACAAAATGAATTAAAACAATTAATTTTTTATGTGAGCACCTTTCTTTTTCGACTGCCAGCATTTAACATTCATTTTAGCCCAACTAATTAAACAATGCATTATCAGCATATGATGCATTATGTGAGTACTTCTTATGCTTCTAGCCTGTTTGCTGTTTGATTTTTGGGCCTACACGTTCGAGTAAAGTTTCAGTTTTGGCTGTCTTGGTATTGATCCCGATAATCAAATACACATAACAAGCATGCGGTTGAGCAACGTACGTGTTGATCTTTGTATGAAAGATTATGAATAATTACCATTTCGATTCAATGTATATGATATGCGAAGTGCTTAATTTATTTTACTACAAACACGATTCGTCACCTTTCGATACGGAAGAAATTGATAGTGTAAAATAAATTTGACAAAATGTGATGCTGCCATTATAATCATAAGTCTATGAGTTCGGTTTCTAATCGAAATTTCGATACTTTTTATTAACTAGGCTTAATCTGTAAGTCGTTGCATCGTTTTGGTTGGAAACACTTGGCTCAGAACAGGGTAGAATATAAATCTGCAGCCAATAAAAAATAGGCTTACAGCGCGAGCAGCACCTTTTTCATCTATGAACGTCGACTCAAAGTATACATCTACCTTTGTCCTTTTTATGAAAAACGTATGACCTGCTAAGGCAAACATTGAGAAAACGCATCTCGGTGTCTGTCCGAGCCAAACCACGTGTAGTTTCTATCACAAAAGTACTTCAGTAACAACCGTTATAGCCATAACTATTGCGAGAAGAAAAGTTTAGGCGTTGGATACGAGCGGTGATGAAGAGAACAGCTGAGAGAGGGAGACAGTTAACGCGCTCTATTCGGTCTCTCATTCTCAGGCGGCGGGTCGAGTTAGTTTGTTGGAGTGCTCGTCGTATAGAACCTTGCCCCCTGGCTCTTCCATCTATTCGACTGCCTGTCTCTTCACTCATTCTGCAACGACGCTGATCGGTTAAGAAATCATCCACATTAAATCCTCTCTTTTATCAACTTCAGACTGGAGTCGTTTATTTAATGAACTTTCATATCCAATAAGTTTAAGGATTAGCATAAGTTATATTCTATGTCGATATATGTAGGCCTGCGTGACTCGTGTCATTTCAGAATGGTATCATTCTGAGATTTATCAAACCTAAGTCATATTCTTTCATGCGAAATTGCGTCCGTATTAAATATAGTCGTTATTAGATTATGTATTTAGTATGTTTCCTTGGGTAATAAATAAAATCGACAGTATAAAATTATTAACGACTTGTTGTGCTATTCTCAGCGTTGCTCTCTGCAGTAGCTCACGGATGTCTACTTATACCGCGTTTTTTTTTTATTAACAACGCAATCTATTGAGAAAAGGATAAACAGTTTAAATAAGCAGTTTCCTTTTTATTGATAATGTCTTACATCCTTTTTATCGGTTTAATATCATAGAAGAATCTTTTGAACAGTAGATGAAGGTTAAATGTATGAGATCTGCAATGTACCGAATATGACTCACTTTTTTACGTATCAATTAATTGTCTCTTAAATGCTATCATGTTACTTTCTTAAATTTGGATTTAATTATAAACACGTTCTTTAGTGTATCTTTCTAGGCATAAACAATAAGACACACGATACTACAATGTCTTTACCTAAAGGCATATTTCCTACGAAGTACTTCGAATCAGCTTCTTATCAGCATATATCCATGATCGCATAAAGGACCGCGTCGAATAACTTAATTAATGCGTTAAGTTTTATGACACGCATGAATCCTAGGGGTCGCAGTGTATTACCACTAATTGTAACTCCAACGTTTTAATGCATTTGCAAATAAAATACTTACTAATTCTAATGTGGCTATTTGTGCTTATCAAAAGCCCAGCGCGACACTAGTGGAGAACTAGAGTACAGAGGAACAGTATATACTTCTGAATATGGAGACTATCTTATGAGAGATCTGCGTTTGAATGCCCTCCATAGAGTTACTGGATAGAAACGGTTCAACAATTTAGTTTGAGGAGAGTGGTTGGTTATGATTATGACTGAAGTATGTTGAAGGTGCAATGGTGTCATCTAAAGAGGGGAGCGAAGCTTTGCTAAGACGGGGAAATAGGACCGGAGTAACACCAATCGAATATAGGAAGTTATATGCACGCACAAGCACACAGGCACATACATACCGATCTCTCAACACATTTCACACGGACACCGACCCCCACCCGTTCCGATACACACACACATCCGGACGGCTAGACACTGGCACAGATCCAGATTGAAACATATACCATCGCCACATAGTGTAAGTGAAGGGGCGGGATGGGGGTGAAGATGGTGGGCACAGAGAAAACGCGCGCCCTAAAGAGGGAGAGAGAGTTGTGGTGATGGTGGTAGCCGGCCGAAAGGACAGGGAAGCAGGGAGAGGGTGGCTGAGAGTTAAGTTGTGCGGAGTTGTTCCAACGGGACGGAACTCTAAGCCGAGTCGGTTGGGAAAATGCGGGATGAATTGGGGAGTCAGCGGTGGCCGACCGAATTCGAGGGCGTCTATTTCGAAGAAAATGGTGGCCTGCGTATGTTCGTGATATTGGTACTAGTAGTAGCTGTAGTAATGGCGGCTATAGTAAGAACGCTAATGTTAGTGGCCGCAGTAGCGACAGTACTGATAGTGGTAGTGTGTGCTGCTGTTGTTCTTACAGTAGCAGCAGCAGCAGCAGGAGGTCGCCTTGAAGGAGGAGAGTCTACCTTCCTTCTTTCGCTCCGCGGTTTGACATGGTCCTCTTTGCTACCTCTTGCCCTCTGTTGTGCTCACTCCACTCTGCTTTATGACTGACTTCCTTCCCCCCTTTACGCAGGCGCAGATGATGTGCGTAAAGGACTCGACTGCCATTTACAATCAGGAGAAAGCGTCCGCGCGGGCTTTGTTAGCATCACAAGTATCTGACACGCGGCTATTTTCATAGGTGACTCTTAGTTTGTATCATAAAATTCACGATGATGTAAATACTGCTTTGGAGAAATGCTCAAGTTCTTATCTTCCTACAGAACAAAGATGTAATGCAAGTAGTTGTTGGACGTCCTAGCGATCAACAAATACGCGGTACTTTTAGCAACAAAAGGTCATCTGTGACTAAAAAAAATGGTCATCGCAAACAGATAATATTAATCATCACCAGATGTTAGCCAGTTAACACAGTCTTTTCCATAATTTTATGTGTAATTCACGGTCGGTAAAAACCTGCGATTACGAGTTATAGGTTGTAAAGGGTATTGAATGTTAATGACTAAGACGTTTTTTTGGCCTGCTTACTACAGATTATGATCAGTACCTTTACAACAAGACAGCCAAGTCTATTGAAACCCAGCTTACACCTAAAAACATCTAATTCGACTTAAATCTATAAAATAAAAAAGTAGGTATAATATAACCGGTAAGCGGAACTTCGCCTGTTTCGCTTATTAAACCATTGCCTTATCAACTAAACAACTGCATTGTGTTTCATATCGTAAAAAAAAACTTTTCAGATTGCCTATGAAGCAAAGATGACCACCTACAGCTCCTTGGTTGTTAAATATTTTTTTTATTTTAAAAACCTGTCAATTTTAACCTAATGGTCATTGCAAGAAGAAAGGCTTCGGGACAATATAGAATAAAATGAACTTTTAGCTTCACAGTTTTTACTTTTGCCAGTCTAATTCCTGTAAAATGTTAGTTTTTTTCCAGCTCCGACTGTTTCGAAATTCCATTCAATGCATAGGGGTGCGATACACATATCCTAAGGCTTGGTCGTAGCCTTCATGGATTCTTAGGTGAATCGGCTTTCCTAGTATCTGTTAGCTAGTTATTTCTGATTTTCTTGCGGGTTTATTTGAAACTTAAAAAATGGATTTTAATGAATTCTGTAGGTAGACCCTTTGCTGAGTATAGTGCAATCACAAACGTCTGTATTTCTGCTATGGGGTTCATACCCACAAATCCCCATAGTTACCAATTTATTTACGGATTAGGTGAATGAACGAGCAAAAACAGCAAATAGGGCCTTTAAAACGAATTAGAGCATTTCAAATAACTTAGGAAGTTAGCTTTTCAATAAAACAAAAATAAAAAAAAATCCGTTGCTGTTTAGAGTCCAAATATGCTTTCTCAAAGTTTCATACAGAACAACCTTTTTTTCGTTAGAGGTATAGAGAAATAGGTTTATGCGCGATCGAGACGCTCAGAGCTATTTACCTCAATCCCATTAAGGGCCCGAGTGTGGGATTCGGTCACCCACCCGCGAACAAGTGAAATCCTACTCTGATAGTGTAGATCATCATAACGCCGACTAAGTTGCTATCCTCTTGGGTACTTCTTCTGAGCCTTGACACCGTTTTGAAACATAGCATCAGATTTTTTGAAAGGTCTAAGCGCAAAGGATGTCTTCTGTTCCTTACCGCTTTCCCGCATCTTGCTCTTCCTGACGCCTTTCTTCAAGCTTCCCTTTTACCGCCTTAAATTCTTTTTTCTGAAGCCTAATGGTCATGAAACAAATCGTCCTTTTATTCTGTTCCTCTGTAGATCGAAACATATCATTAATAACGTTTTTAATTGTGGCCCAAAATGTATCTTGCAAAACTTCTTCCCGCTCTTCTCAGAGGTCTTCACATTCAATTAGAGTGTCGTGCGCGTGTTTCATCTAATGCGCTTAATACGTATATATCATGGCGCTTTTTGTTTATTTTTACATTGTATGGGTGATAATGACCGTGTTCACATCGTGAATATAGGATGGATGTAGTATATGACCTTTCCATTGTCACTGCACCAGACTGCCAGGTCCGGAACAAGGTGCGCTGTGCAGCTTTCCGATTTATTCGCTGTTTCTGATTAAAGCTATTTCTTTTGCCATTTCCATTGCATTGTTGCTGTTCGGGCTGTCGGGAGATTCGTATCATTCTACATTATTGCCTAAAATATAGATAAACCCTTTGAACTGTAGAATTGAATATCTAACATTATTATCTCAGCATACATGGAAATAGATAAAAAAAAAAAAAAAA